CCAGGGTTCGTCTGTCTCTGCCCCTTTTCCCTTCACCCTCTTCAAATCCTTAGATACTTCTCCTTCCAGAAGTCTCAGCTACAGAAGACATCGCCTCCAGTTAAGGCAGTCCCCACCCAACCCCCCGGGCCCTTAGAAAGGTGAGTCTGGGAGAGGGGTATGCTTTCTTATTCAGTGAGGTTCCACTCTAAAGAACTATGTCCCCAGGAACTATCCTGTGCTTGTCACCGTTGCCACCACTGGCTATGCCTCCCTCATCCACTGGGGGGCTCCTGTCTTTTTTCCTCTCTTCTCCCTGCTTCCCCAGTGGGAACTGGGTACTGGGCTTAGGCCCTCCCAAATACTGTTTCCCCACCTGCCTAGGGATTCTGTAGGCCAACTGCAGCTGTATCGCCACCCAGACCGTTCACAGCCAGAATTCCTGGATGCGATTGACCGACGAGAAGACACATTTTATGTTGTCTCCTTCCGACGAGTGAGTTCCATCTCCTGGCCCCATCCCTGCCAGCTTGGGTGTTCTGGCTTCTTGTCTTCAGGTTGAGGCTATAGAATAGCCAGGGAGCTTCTTGCCGTCTTTTCCTCCACCCTCCTGTCCTCACCCCTCTATTTCCCAGGACCACTTGCTGCTCCCAGCCATCAGCCACAACAAGACCTCTCGGCCTAAGATGTCCCTGGTGATGCCCGCCATGGCCCCCAATGGTAATTCTTCCCCTACCGGATGTGAGCAGGGGTCCTGAAATTGAGGAAGGGGGGAAGTTTCGATGGGGAGATCCAGCATGAAGAGCTGAGGGGGGAAATGGAGAGGGATGTGGGGCATTCCAGAGAGATGCTAGATTCCTGGGTAAGAAGAAGCACGAAATGGGGGGATTGGAGAACAAAATGCAAGAGACTCTGATGGGAGGAAGACAAGGTTGATGTGTTTGGGTAGGTGCTGGGCAGAACGGGGTGGGCTGGGAACCTGCCAGCCTCTCACCTCATATTTTCTCTTGTTGTTCTCTCCTCTATGACCTCACACTCATGTAATTTTCTTTTCCTACCCTTTTCCCTCTCCTTTCACCAACTCCATCCCTACCCTTTCATTTAACTCCCACTGTGGATCCACCTTGTCACCGCTGCCCTTTCCTCTCTATCCATCTGCTTTTCTGCTTTTCTGCTTTTCTGGCCCCTTTCTTGGGTTTGCCTCCCCCTTCTCTTCCTTAACTCCCTACTTTGTACAGAGACGGTGTCAGGCCGGGGGGCCCCTGGGGACTATGAGGAGATGATGCAGATCGAGTGTGAGGTCATGGACACCAGGGTGATTCACATCAAGACCTCCACAGTGCCCCCTTCACTCCGAAAACAGCCGTCCTCAACCCCAGGCAATACCACAGGTGGCCCCCTGCCAGCTTCCGCAGCTGGCCAGGCCCCCCAGGCCACCCATCGGCCCCTCTACCTCAATCATCCCTGATTTCTGCCTCTCATACTGATTTAGAACTTGGGGTGGGGGAGGAATGACCAGGTGAGACTTTCTAATTTCCCTGATCCCTGGGCTTGGGCAATTGGTGAAAGGACAGGGTGTGGGGTTAAGCACTTATTTGGAGGAGGTGAGGGGGTTCACCTCTCTTTTCACCCCTTTTTGAAATATAGGGCTCTTCTCATTTTTCTGAACCCCCAGTCCCTGCTTCTTTCTTTGAGGGTATTGAGTGAGGGTAAGGTTTGGGGTGGATGGGCTCTTGATTCTTTTGCTTCTCTGTTTTGGGGGTGGAGGTGGGAATTTAGTCCCCAGGAGGGACAAGGAACATTTTTGCATTTTGGAGCTTGTTACTGGGAATAAAGGAAGGGTGGTAGAGGGAGATCAGATTTATGTATGTGCATATCTTTTTTTAATTATTAAATAAACAACTTGGAGGGAGTTAAAGCAATGGTGGCTGCTTCCTGGCTCATGACAGGAAATCTGAGAGAAAGTGACTTCTCTAGGGCAAGTATATCAGAGAATTAAGCACTGAAGACAGCTGGCTCTGGGGTGGGGTGGGTGTGGGATCACAGACCTCATGTCATCCTCTTGTACCCGCCCATGCAACACTGGGATGTCTGTGGGAGGTGTTGGGTGAGGAAGGGATGTCCCATGATGTGACAGCCAGGAGGATACAGATCCCTGGAATGTGTCTGAGTAAACAGGAAGGACAGGGGGCCCCACGCCCTTTGGGGTGAGCAGCCTCCCTGGGTCCCCTGCATTCTAACAGGTCCTCCCTCCCTTCCCTCGCTTTCCAGGACAAACAACCAAGCTGGGGCCAAAGGGCTGTGAGCCAGAAAGGAGGGGCCACAGTGGAGAAGGGGTGGTGTTTGGAGGGAAGGGGGATGTTGAGCATCTTCTTGGCTCTGAACTGGAAGAGACTGAGACTTGGTCCAGTTGAAGGAAGAAAACAAGAGTGGGTCTGGCAGAAAAGGCTGTGCTTTCTAATTAGGAAGAAGGGGAGTAGAACAAAGGGTGAAGGCCCAAGTCTCACTCAACCTGTGGGGATCCCCATCAGCAGCTCCTGCCTAGCAGTGCCTCTGGCCCAGCCCTGCAGAAGTATACTGGGTCAGTTGGAGGATGTGGGCTGGGCCTGGGCTCAACGCCCAGATGACTGGACAGGGGCCACCTGGGCCACAAGCCCAGGCCTGAAGGAGTGGAGAAGAACCTCATGTGTCCAGCCAGGCTCCCTCCTCCCCATTACTGTGTTTGGGGTGAAAACAGGCTGAGTAACTGTGGCAACCTGGAATTAGGGCTCCCAGGAAATATGCCTCTCCTCCCTCCAGAGGGCAGCCCTGGCTCCTCAGCCAGCCCCAAGGTCTTTCTGCCCCAAGGTCCCTCAAGCCTTATCCAAGCAATGAGTGCAAGGAAGACAAGGATTTTGGAGGCAGATCACCTGAAGTGGTTTTTCTTAGTGGATGTCCCTGCTATGTAACTTAAACACTCTAAGCCTTAGTTTCCTCATCTGTAAAATGGGATACTCCTATCTACTAGTCAGGGTTGACGTGAAGATGAAAGATGGTATTCGTGGTGCCCGGTCCATAGTAGACACACATTTCTCCTTTTTTATATTGTCTTTTTCTTCTCTAGTCTACTTTTATCCCATCTGGGTCTATCACTGTTCCATTGTCCACCACTCTTTCTGTTTTCTGACCCTAGCTCAAGAAAGTACCAGAAATGTTGGCATTTCAGACTAGGGGTGGGGCATGCAGCTTTTCTGGCTGAGTGGCAATGGACAGCTGGCACTTCGGTGTGAACTGGAAGTCACACTCTTGGCTGAGGGAGTGGGGTAGTAGGAAGGGTAAGAGGCTTGGAGAGTGGGTATGCCATGGTGGATTGAGGCTGGGCAGTCTCTGGGCCGCCACCCTCTGGGCCCATGAGGATCTCCAGCCACAGCCCCCATCCAAGGCCACCTCAGTATTCCTGTACCTCTGTTGGCCCTTCCTGTCACAGGCCCTTTTTATCTTAATGTTCTGCTGCTTTCCTTTCTCTAGATTTCTTTCCTGCCTTCCTTTGCCCTCTACCTCACCACGAGTTATCACCTCTTTTTGACCCATTATTCTTTGTTCATCTTTTTGTTTTTTGCTGCTTTGGTGTTTTTCCCTTCCACCTTTCCACCTCTTCTGCTTCACCCTTTTTTTTTTTCTTGGTCTTATCTCCCTGTGCTGCTCACCCTGTGCTCGCCTCTTCCCTTTTCATGCCACCCTCCCTCCATTTCCCTTTCCACTGCTTTGTCCACATTCTTTGTCCCTCTCCATGACTTCCTCTCCTCTCCCCACTTCACCCCTCTCCTCCTCCTTCCTCCCCCTTCTCCCTTTGCTTCCCACTCCAATCCTCTGCTCTCCCCAGCTGTGGGGGCCAGGACTGGAGAGCCTAATGTTTGCCTCATCATTCTGCTATGGCTTCTGGATACAGCACATCTGGATTCCGGGGCTCAGATGTGTGGTTGCCACAGCAACCTCAGTTCCTCTGGTAAATAGGGCGCCCACCCACCCCAGAGCAGAGAACAAAACAATTGTATGACTTTCTTTTGTCACGAGATAGAAATGTCCTCCCTCCTCCCTTCTCCCCACACCCATGTCTCCAGGCAAAGGAAGTTCTGAGGGTCCAAATCTTTCTTCCTGTGGCTCTGTTTCCTCCGAGCCTCTTAATTCTCTACCATTTTTCATCTCAGGTTCAGTCTTTTCTCTTCATGTTCCTCCTACCATCTCCCACTCCCAGACCCCGATGACCCCCTGTTTAATACTTGGCAATTTCTTCTAACCGAATCTACATAATAATTGGATGCAGAAAGAAGTTTCAGAAATCCAGATCATCCATCCTTCCTTCTCAAACTAGTTCTTCCAGAAGCCCCTTCATTTGTTTCTGCCTTAAGTCTAACCTTTCCAGGGCTCTTCTTCAGGGAGGGGAGAGAATACAGGCTTTGGAATCAGAAAACCTGGGTTGAGGCCCACCTTTACCACCACCAGGAAAGTCCCTTGGACAAGTCACCTAACATCTCTGAGCCTTTATTTCCTCAGCCACGAAGTAGGATTAATAAAATGCCTGCACTGTGTAGGAAAGTGCTTTGTAAACTGAAGCCCAGTACAAATGTGTTTTGTCTTTCCCCTCTCTGGGACTGCTTCCTTGGATCGCAGCCCCTGGCCTGTCTTCCTTCCCCTTTCCTTATCCTTCAGGTCCTTGCCCTTAATTGCCCTTACTCTTCTTTGTCTTCTTTCCATTCTCCTTGTATTTCCCTTTCCTCCCTTTCTACGTCTTTTATTCCTTATCTTCTTGAGATCAGGACAGGAACTTAGAGGTTCATTCAAGGATGGAGGCCCAGAACTGAAGACACCTGGACTGAGAATTCAAAGATTAGCCAGAGCACATGGACAGGTCTTAGCACCCAGACCTTTCTACCTGTCACCCGGGACACCCCAGTGACAGTGACCCTGCTCTTACAACTAGGCTTCCCTGCCTTCATGCCTGGGGCTCCCTACCAGACACACTTTCCCCATCCTCTTCCAGTCAATTTACAATTTAATATCAACGAGCATTTATCAGGTACCTACTCTATGTAAGGCCTGATGCTTTTCTGATGATGCAGACATATATGAGACATAAGCTCCTGGAGAGATAAGAAAGCCTGAAAACCTAGGAGCTTTCAAATTTGTATTCCTTGGGTTTTAAATCCAGGGGAATCAAAGGTTAAACAGTGATTATCTCAGAACCTAGAATTATATCTGTCAAGCTTCCAATGCCTTCCTCAAATGCCTTGTAAGCTTGTAAATTTCTGGAATCCTTCACTCTTCTCTGAGATTCTGGCATTCCACCTGTCCCCAGCAGTGGGCTTCCAAAACACCCCATGGCCATCCTTCTAGCTCCTGCTTCTCTCCATGATCTGGCCACTCTTTGGGTCAACTATACTTATTATGGTGGCCATACTTCCTAAATCATAAAACCAACATATAAGGCAAAGGACCAAAATAAAAAAAAAAAGTGGTTATGACCATGGGACATAATTACTGAAACCTGGGGTATCAGAAATGCCCTTCTCTGTGCAGTCTGCTGTCCCCAAGTCATGCTGTTTCAGCCCCCAATCCTGTCATCTACTTTCCCCCCACCCCAGCCCAGAGATCTCAGAAGCTGTTACCTACTCCAGGCTCTGGGGGCTTCAGGCCAAGGCAGAGGAAGGAAGCTGAACCCAGCTCTATTGAAGATTCTGACTTCATCTTCCCCATCAAAGCCAGGAAAAACAGCCACACACGCACACACCCAGACACATGGATACACACAGGGACACCCTTGCTAGAGCCCATGTGAGCTTTTGTCCTTAGCCACAGGGAGCCGACTGGGCATCTGGCACAGCCACATGCTGGTCCAATGTATCCTGACTCAGGAACACCACACACCTGTGACCAGGGGGCTCTGACTTGGGATGCAGACACCTTTGCTCCAGCCCAAGTGGCAGAATCGGGCATGTACAGGCTCCTGCATGTCCCTTTCAGTTGTGATTTGGTGCAGCTACTCAATGGTGAAGTTTGTAGTGGGGTAGCAAGAACTCTATCCTCGGTGTGAAACCTGGGATCGCGGCTCCCTCAGCCTGGCTATTTTTCCTCTGCATCAAAAGTCTCCCTTTCAGGCCCCCATCAGGGCAGCAAGCATAGGGGAAATGAGGCCAGAGAAACAGCCAACAGCCTTATGTGGTCGTGTCTGCTGTCTCGCCTTCTGGTGTTGGTCTTCCCCACTCTGCCTGAGATCAAATGCCCTTTTCCTCCGGCCCCCAACTCTCCCTACCCCTGTTCCCACTTCCCTGCAGCCCCCACACATTAGCCCCCTTCCACTTTCCACAACTTCACTCTGCCATTTGTGCCGCTACCCCATACCTGCGTCCTGCCTCTGGCTCTTCCTTCACCACTAAACTTTCCTCTTAACTTTCAGGCTTCCTTTCGCTGTCTCTCCTGAACCCCAAATGCCTTCCCAAGTCTTATATGTCTTGGTGTTCAGCCAAGCTATTGTCCAGCCAGTCCCCAAGCCTCATCTGCCATTTCTTTAGGACTTTGCTGAGGTGAAAGAATAAACAGGGTGATCCCAAACTGAGAAGAGGAGGTAGACTGGGCAAACCAGACAGGGAGAGGCATTGCAGGACAGGTCAAGTGCAGAGGGTAGGCAACCACAAGACAGAGCACAGGTGGGAGCAATGGGGCAGGGATAGGGGTGGGGGACAAGAAGTCCCTGAGAAGGTCCCGCATTGGAAAAGGATTTGGGCTTGGGAGGAGGTTTTCTCCTGCCCACACTGCCAGGAGAGAATTGGTGGGGGACAGAGGCTGTGCTGGGCACCAGACAGATAGGACAAGATACTAGATGGAGCAGTACGGCAATTGGGAAGAAGTGGGAGGGGATGTGCAGGGGAGGAGGAGAGAGGGCCTG